ATGAGAAGCTGAATTTGAACCTCAAAACTTTAAAAATCCAGTCATGAAAGTAGTTCGGCATGGTGGTGCATGCTTTTAATTCTAACACTCAGGAATCAAAAACAGATTAATCTCTGTTCTAGGTCAGCCAAGGCACAAAACAAAACAGAACAAAAAAAAATCCACTACGGTTACTGTCAAAAACAAACAAACAAACAAAGCCCAACACTGCATTCTTACAGTCTCAGCAGTAGAAAGGTGAAGACAGTCTAGCTAGTCAGTCTAGGGTCCTGGGAAATTTCCAGACTAGGGAGATACCATGTCTCACAAAACAGTGAACTGCATGTGAGCTATAGCAGTTAACATTGATTTTTAGCTTCCAAGCTTCTGAAAGCCTGCGCATACATACCTGCATGTACACACATACACACACAAACTAGGCACACACAAACACACATACAGAAAGAAAAGTAGTAATTTAAATAAGATATTTTTTGTTTGCCTTTTTCAAAGTATATGCCAATAGTTAACCTTGACTTTTCTATAACATTTGTGTTCTAGAAAAATTAGTACACACATAGTTATAAAATAAATATTTTAGTTCCACTTTTGTGATCAAAAGCCATATGTAACTAACTCAGCTGTACTTCACTTTCTTTAACTATTGTTCAACATGATTGCTTAGCCGGAAGTCCTTCTGAACCTGATACTCAGTTTGGTGCACTCCTGGAATGGCCCCCTGTTTCAACTAGTAACTGAAGTAGATGGTATTCATGAAGCCTCTGATGCTATCATATCAAGAGCCAAAGAGATTGGGGAACAAAACAAGCGCCTTCTAGAGGGAATTGAGAAGATACTTGGCCAGGTGAGCAGTTCTCTGAAACTTCATTGTTTCCTTATTTATGCAACAGCTGATGCTTACAGTGAGAAACAAATTATGAAAAACTCTTCTTTGCAAGAACGAATCTCAGGCATTCTACATTGTAGAGTGCTGTTCAAACAACAACTAAATTTCTACACAATAGATTCTAATATCTCTAAATCCTGGACTTCAACTACAGTGTTGGATAGGTGTGGTCTTCCTGTTGCTTTTTAGTAATGCACAAACAACTTACTGTTTCTTAGACACTTATGGTTAAATGTTCCACAATAAAAGAAAAACAGACTAAAAAAATTGACAAGATAAAGCATTCTTGAAGAGAATTCATGTATATTTATTGACATTCTGGTTATATACCTCTTTCACAAATACACCAGAGAAGTAAAGTGTTAAGGGAGAGAAAAGAAAATCAAAATCAAATTAGAAACTCTCCTGCCATCTTTGGCCATGCCCATAGGAAACTGGAAAGTTAGGGATGGGTCATCAATACTGTTCCAGAAACTCTCAAAAGAGGTAAACTTTATTTAAGCTGCTCATCCTACATGTTGTTTCACTCTGGTTTCCTACATCAAACTTGTGTCATTGAATTTGATATGTCCAAATCATTTGACATACTTAAAGTTGAATTTGTATTTTGAATTTCTCCAGTTATTATAATTGTCAGTGCTAGTGAAATTAATACCAAATCAGCTTTCTGAAAATCACAAAGATAAAATACATTTGATAAAAATAAGTAGGAGTACATACATACTACTTGCTTTAGATTTCTTCTTAGCTATTTGGTGTATATTAACACCATATATGTTTTGCTGTACATGCCATATTTTTATAATTTCCATGAAAATGTGTACTTCTGGTGAACACACACACACACACAAATGAAAATACAAATAAAACCATTAAACCAGCAACATATGCAGTAACCATTCTGATTTCAAGGTATTGTCTTCATTTCTGTGAGGCTACATTCTGACTTAGGGGTAATTTCATAGCAAGGCACGATAAGGCATTAAGTATTCTTGCTCATTGTTAAGTTTCCAAATGTGTGCAATTCAGTTCAAAACAGTAAGATGGCAAATGATCCATTATCAGAGGCAGCAAAGTACAAGGTTGTTGTTAATACAGATTAGCACTTTAGGTAAGGGAGCAGACACTCCCTCTTTTGCCATACCTTGGTAAAGACTGAGGACCTGGTTATCATCTGTATACATGGAAAAGACAAACTTCAACTCAGATCACATGCCTAATACAAAACATATCTATATACTCTGCTTCAAACTTTTAGATGCCTGACAGACTTGCAACCTGCCTAAAAATATCCATGAATCTGGCTAAAATTTTACATTGGTCTTTCCTCCAAAACATGCATTCAACCATAAGATGAAATACAGACATAAAAATGCTAACATATGAATTTGAATTTTCTGTTTTCTAATTAGGCCTATCCTGAAGCCAAAGGAAATGAGATCTACTCCGTTTGGTCACAGTTTCCGTCCCTGCAGGGAATTGATGAAGAATCCAGAGATTTGGCTCTTTACAACAAGATCCGCTGCCTGCGCAGGGATTCCCATAAGGTTGATAATTATCTCAAGCTCCTGAGATGCAGAATTGTCCATAACAACAACTGCTAAGCCCACATTCATTCCGCGTACTTCTGAGATGGTTCTTAACAGTCTAGTTCTTCAAAACTTCTACTAGTACCATGGCTTTCAGTGCATGCTTGGGTGAATGGGTCTCTTCTTAAAGAATAAAAATAAACTTTTTGAAAATGTTGAAGTCTGAAAAGGCAATCTGTCAATGCTTCGTTTGGTCATTTATTATAAAATGTTTCACTGACATCATCATATCATCAAATTTTGTCACAAATAACAGGCTCGAGGCTCATAAATAATGCAGATGGCAAAGAAACTGAAAAGTGTAGAAAGTTTAATATGGACAAAGAGTTTTAGAATTGAAGAAAGAAGTCATTATTAAGAAGTCCATCTGGTCTACCCAAAAGATGGAACACTAGACCATTTCTAAGGGAAAGATTTCTAGTACAGAATTGGATAAACCAAGTGCCATGGAACTGAGTTGCTTCTAGACAGTACACTAATCAATCCCAAAGTGTTAGCATACAACCATATATTAACCCTAGATAGCTCTAAAAATTGACTTCACCAATTCTTTTCTGGACTCCCAAGACCTTACATTAATCATTTTACTCTAGATGACAATATGAAGAAACTCAGACAGAGTGATAGCAGATTACAGAAAATTAAGTAGAGCACTGTTTTTCATACATACTGAGCAACTTGCTTTCAGAGAAAGAGTTGATACCAGATTGAGGACAAACCATACCGTAGGAGATGTTCTTAAAGCTGTATTATTATTCCTACAAAATATTAATTAAGTGACAATTTTTCATTGTCTTGAAACTGGTAAATAAGTTTCCATTATTTATTTATAAATAAATTTCTATGATCTACATGAATTATTAGTGGGAAAATGCATCTGGAAAACCAATAAATCCAACAGTTTAAAAATTGCACACTGGAGCACTGGACTGAGCTCCCAAGGTCCCAATGAGAAGCAGATGGAGGGAGAACACGAGCAAGGATGTCACGACCACGGGGGTGCACCCACCCACTGAGACAGTGGGGCTGATCTATTGGGAGCTCACCAAAGCCAGCTGGACTGTGACTGAAACAGCATGGGATAAAACCGGACTCTCTCATCATGGCGAACAATGAGGACTGATGAGAAGCCAAGGTCAATGGCAAGGGGTTTTGATCCTACTTCATGTTCTGGCTTGATGGGAGCCTAGCCAGTTTGGATGTTCACCTTCCTAGACATGGACGGAGGGGGGAGGACCTTGGACTTTACACAGGGCAGGGAACCATGACTGCTCTTTGGATTGGAGAGGGAGGGGGAGAGAGAGAGGGGGAGGGGGAGAAGAGTGGGGGGAGGGGGAGGGAAATGGGAGGCTGGGAGGAGGCGGAAACTTTTTTTTTCTTATTCTCAATAAAAAAAAATTGCACGTAGATACCCATCAGACATAGGAGTAGACATTCCTGACATTTATAAAGTCATTGAATAATGGCGAGTGCATAAGGTCTGTTTCAGAAGATTTTAGAAAAGGAGGCACATGATGTCCCTAATCTACATAGACTTCTGAACTGTTGCTGGTTACACAGCATAATTAAAGGCATAGACAGTAATATTGAAAGTACTGAAGAATACTTTGTTGAAAAATAATTTTTTTGAAAAAATGAGTTTATAATGATGAAGAAATTTCCAACCCTTACAATGGCTTCCATAGTACCAAAAGTATTTATCATCTGAAACACTAAAAATACCTCAATAGAATATTTCAGGATAATTGTCAATAATTGGTATAGCTCAGCAACATGGTAAGGGAAGCCTGGCAAAGTTTTCTCTGCTTAAAGAAACTGAAGAAACTGCGGCATAACAGTTGCAAACTGCAATCAACAACAATGTGATTTGATTTAAGGCTCACCTCACATGAGAAAATTCAGATGTTATATTTGAAGACAGTAAGAAAGGCAAACAGAAAATTTAACAGTGTTCAAGGAAGTCATCCCCCACCGATAAGGATCTGATCAAAGTTTTGTTAAATGATAGGATCTGTCAAAGTGTCTTCTAAACAATTTTCGTCAGATCTGTTGATTCCCAGAACTGTTACCTGTTTGTTGAGAGAAACATTGCCCAGTGTTTATGGCTAAGGAAATAGATTTGTGTTTGATTATAACATCTAGGATTATTGACTGTTGCTGAGATAGGGTGGTTCATGCTCCTATAAACAACGACAGCACTTATCACCACCTGAAACACTCAAGAATCTCTGGAGAAAATATGACAGACATAAGATCATAAATTAAGGCAAAATATTGGGTGAAAATTCCATTTCTACTACTAATCTGGAAATGAGTAACTTTGAAAGAGAGATGCTCTTGGAGATTTCCAGAATGACTTGAAGCCTCTAGATAACACGGGGGAAATCAAAGTAGCACATATAAGTAGGACTGTGTTAAAGGTAAATAGGATGTCAATATTCCCGGAAGGGAAAGGGTCACTGATCTGTAGATACTGATTCAATCTGTACCCCCAGCTCTGCATAGCTTTGAGTAGTTCTGTTTGTATATATAGTATGTAGAACATCAAATGAAACCAGTAGTGAGGAGAAACAGCAGCTTTCCTGAATTGGAGACTACATTGTGATCTAAGTTCTAAGAGATGCAGCTGACTTCAGCTCAACCCTGCTCCTGTAAGTAGCCCTCTGTCATGTTTCCCTAAGCTTCATCAGTGAATTTTTTTATGAAGGTATGTTTGAAAAGTATATTTTCTTTTCTTTTCTTTTATTGAGCTATACATTTTTCAGCTCCACTCCCCTTCAACCCTTTCCCATGGTCCCCATGCTCACAATTTACTCAGGAGATGTTGTCTTTTTCTCCTTCCCATATGTTTCTCTTAGGGTCCTCATTGTTGTCTAGGTTTTCTGAGATTGTAATTTGTAGGTTGATTCTTTTTTTGCTTTATATTTATAACCACTAATGAGTGAGTACATCTGATAATTGTTTTTCTGGGTCTGGGTTACTTTATGCAATATGATGTTTTCTAGATCTACCCATTTGCCTGATAATTTCAAGGTGTCATTATTATTATTATTATTATTATTATTATTATTATTATTATTATTATTGAGACAGGGTTTCTCTGTGACTTTGGAGCCTGTCCTGGAACTGGCTCTGTAGACCAGGCTGGTCTTGAACTCACAGAGATCCTCCTGCCTCTGCCTCCCGAGTGCTGGGATTAAAGGCGTGTGCCACCATCGCCCGGCGGTGTCATTATTTTTGTTTTCTGCTGTCTAGTACTCCATTGTGTAAATGTACCACATTTTCCTTATTCACTCTTTGGTCAAGGAGCGTTTAGGTTGTTTCCAGGTTCAGGCTATGACAAACAGTGCTGCTATTAACATAGTTGAGCACATGTCCTCATGATACAGTTGAGCATCCATTGGGTATATACCCAAAAGTGGTATTGCTGGGTCTTGAGGAAGGCTGTTTCCTAATTTTCCGAGAAATTGCCATACTAATATCCAAAGGGGCTGTACCAGCTTGCACTCCCACCAGCAATGCAGGAGTGTTCCCTTTACCCCAAAACCTCTCCAACATAAGTTCTCATCAGTCAACAGTATATTTTCTGTGGTGTGATCAGGTTTGCTCTTTTAAGAACCAGTGTTTGGTTATGCCTCACCTGGAGATAAGACAACAGAGAGTAGAGAATGTTTTAGGATGTAATCACTCAGTCAAGTGCGAGATCAGTGGTTTTCATTTTCCATTTTATTGATAGACAATATTGATAGGTAAGGGGAGACAGTAGTACTGATATCTAAGGGGTACCTTGTAGTAAACATTTTCCATTGCATGCTCTCCTTCATAACACAACTCAATTGACCAATTTGCGTTGCAGAGAAAATGTTCATTGTGAAGAATACAAGATTCAATGATCTCATTATTTTAGGTACAGAAAGAGGAAGTTATAATTATGTTTGATTACCAAGGTTTAGGTATGTATTTGCTTGCTTAATACATCAATCTGAATAAACATTCATTTATGAAGCCTAATGTAGCTGCTAATAGCAGGTTTGTGTCTTTACCAATTTAGAACATGTTAAAGGACATGAAAAAAAATAAAAGCACTCTTGAGCTAACAATCTTAACATTTAAGGGGTATTTACAAGAAAATGGATTAGTTGAAGCTGTCAAGTTTATTTCCTGAAATGGAAAGTGAACATAAAACCCTAAGACTTTCTGACAAGTGCCAAGAATGACTTAAAGACCCTGACTTAGGGTTAATTAAAGCTCCACGTATTTGCATAGTTGAGAAGTTCACCTTGCAAGCCTTAATTGTGGAATGATTTCTCTGGTTCTAAGCTGCGAGCCAGAGAAATATATTTATTTCCACATATTGGCCCAGTTTAAAAAGAATATTCCCCTTCCACGTATATCAAGCCAAATCATGTAGCAGCGGGCCTACAGAAGAGACAACATTCCCAGACAATTTAACTCTTGAAGACTCCATTGAATAGATTCTCTCATTTCATTTCTCCTCAAGCGGTGATGTGTCTGTTGCTGCTGTTGGCAAATCTGCTCCTTTGGGAGAATGTGTCCTCCACACCAGATGTCTTGTCCACTAAAGACCTGTATGATCATGTGGTTGAACAGTCTCATACCAACTATGACATGTCTGCATACATATACCACGAATTTGTAAGTTCCTCGCTTGCTTCTTGTTTTCTCTCTAATGGGGACTGCAGAAAATGCTACTAATTAAATCAGAAATCACCACTATCTGATGTTGATGTGACAAAATTTTGTAGGTACTAGAAAGAAGCAGATAATAAAATGTGAATTGGAGAACGTGGGAGGTTTTATAAAATCTCAAGCGTTTTTAAGAATGGAATAATTTTTCAATTTTCTAAATAATATATTTTAAAAATAAAAACATAATTTGGACTTTCACTTTTAACATCAAATCCCCAAAGAATCACAGGACGGAACTGTGATTTCTTGGTCTTTTATAGAGGACTCCACTCTCTACGGAAATTCCCAACTCACCCCCTGCAGATATTCAGTGTAGGATGATTACACTGCAGTGAATTGAATGCATGGAATAAAAGCTAAATAATCACAACCATGTAAATTGGGAGGGGGTGATATCCAACTGCTCAGATACTCCAAAATGTGAAGAAATATTGTTTAATATTTTTCAGTGTGTAGCATCTGTGTGCAAAAGAGAGCTTGTGTAGAAGGGAAATGTGTCCTCTTTTCCTAATGGTGACACGTGACCTCTGGGTTCCATGAAGAAAGAAAATACAAGATAAAGATCTGGGAGAATTGGTCTTTAGAGTTGAAAAGAGTATACACCCCCATTGTGTTTTTCACTCATCGGTGAAAACTCCTTTTACTCATTTCCTTCTCTGATTGTCTCTCACAATTTTTCCACCACATGGCATTCCCAGGAACCCATCCACCTTCTCATGGCTAGTATTAGAAAATTGTATTTAAAAAAATAAATACCCGAGGAAATATAATTCACAACTGATTATTATGTAAACTTTAAATATTGTGTGCATTTTCCTTCACTCCTTATGAAGTAGATTCGTAAAATAAGGCTAGATTTTTTTTTTAAATTTTGATTGTATCAACATTACTTCATTCTAAACTTTGCTAAAAGTTACTATTTTATAACACAGTTCAAATCCTAGGGAAAACTATACTTAACACTGTAAGTTTTTCATTTGGAGTTTGTAAGGTTTCTGGTGCCTGTTCTCCCAACAATAACATTTTAAGGTAAAAATAAAAGAATATTAAAGAAGAGTTAGAGATTGGGAGGTCAGTAAATGAGATTGGCTATCTAAAGCAGAAAAAAATGAGCTAACATATTTGCTTTATTCCCGTGTTTTAATTTCTATGTTCTCATTGATTTTTTTTAAAAAAATAAGTTCTGTCAAGAACATTGATGCCTTGGTCATATATATATTCATTCAATTCTGAAATCCAATACACTGAATCATATCTTTTCTTTCAGAATGTAAAATTTGCTAAAGCAAGTTGGTTAAACGACAAGGCACCCATGGAGTGCCACACTGCATCCATCACGACTCCAGAGAATTTTATGCAAATCCGTGAAACAAAAGTAGGTTTTTTTTTTCCCCTTGGTTTTCACTGAAACAAATAAAACTGAGCAGTGTTTAGTTGTTCTTCACGTGGGTTAGAGGGCCCAAATATGGGTGATCTCTGATCCATAGCATGGAGGAGGAAGCAACAGTTAGCAAATAATTCACACATCTCACAGTTGATAACTTACGCACCAGGCCAATGCCAATTTACAGTGCAGCAAATTCAGAAGTTCGCAGCACAATTTCTAGCATCGTCATGGTGAGGTTGCTCTTATTCCTCCCTGGGAAGCTTTGCTATGAATTGGACACTTTTGTTTGGGTATACACTCAAAAACATGTGGAAGAAATGCAGATACAGTAGTTCTTAGGTTCTGACGCTAAAGGCCCCTCCTCTAGGAGCATGCTCCTTCAGTTTATAAGACTTTCTTGGTCCCACTGCAGTTTCTTCATTATTTGCAGTCTTCCCTGACTTTTCTGCCTTCTTCTTCTCATTAGAGGAAAGAGGCTGTAAAAGAGGCTCCTCCTCTTCCTGTTATCTCGTGTCACAGGATGGCCCCTGTTTGATGAGGTCTGGACAAACGCATATTTCTGTGTTAGCATCTTTCCCTTCTCACTCTCTATGTAAAACAGGGTTTGATTTGATTTACCGTAAATTTATATGTGTACTCATATAATGGGGAGTCATGCAGATGTAGAAAAACATTGTTTTGAAAGCTGTGTCTCCATCAATATGCCATTGTTTTAATACTCTACCATAATACAAAAGCCCAGAGTGATCAATGAGAGAGCAGTGTGATTTATTAGTGTGGAAATTATTTGGACCACTTTCACCTGACATTGTTGTTATCTATTTTATCTAAAACCAAGTCCTGAAGTCACTTACTGAGTCCCAGAAAGCTTCAATTTCTCACAGAGAGGGTTAGTAATACAAAAGAACATATTTTATTAGGGTTTCTATTGCTGTGAAGGGGACACCATGACCACAGAAACTCTTATAGAGGATAACATTTAATTGTGGTAACTTGCTACAGAGGTTTAATGCATTATCATCTTTGGGGTGGGGGATAAGATAGCTTGCAGGCAGACTGTGGTGCTGGTGCTGAGTGTCCTTGAATCTTGATCCAAAGGCTAAAGGGAGTGAACTGTCTCATTGGGCATAGCTTGAGCATATATGACATCTCAGAGCCCACCCCTACAGTGATGCACTTCCTCCAACAAGACCACACCTAATCCAACAAAGTCACACTTTTTATTTGGGGGCCATTTTCTGTCAAGAACCACAAAGACAGATGGTTGAATATAGAGGGAAAGTAAAAAGCAATTAATTTGACCTGTCAGTATAAAAGTAAATTGCTCAGATCTAATTTTATTTAACTAACTATAGTACAGTAGCTAAAATTTTATAATTCTACAATGTGTAGATACTATGAAATATATGTATTAATAAGAAATATATATTATAGTTCACCATCTTTGTGTACAATAAATAGATATCTACCCTTTTGAATCTCACTTCCTTTAAAGAGGTTTTTATCATGCTTCCCTAGACAGAAGACCTTCTGAAAGCAGTCATAGCAATTTCTCGTGCCTGGGACTATCCTCTGATACACCTGATACTTGCCACGGCTGCTCTCCCGACAGAGTCTAATGAAATGATGCAAAGAATCAATGATGTGAAGCACGGAATTATAGAACTTTTGAAGGGACTTGAGATTCTACTGAGCAGGGTAAGTTGTCTCTTCACATTTATGTTATTTATGAAAGTGGTGTTTTGGACAATGAGGAGAATTTTTGAATAATTCATTTGCAAGACGGAAATTTTTATATCACATTGTTGACAGTTGAGGGAGTAAGGGACCACTTGTAAATCTAACACCCGAGGTGTTTACTGAAAACTGCGTAAACAAGTGGTTCTAACACCAACAACAAAAAGCCAATGTTCTTCATAGTAATTTGGAAAGTAGCTTTTCGGGTGCTGCAGACACCACTGCTTAATGTAGATGGTCTTCTTATGACAGCCATTTCCTCAATTTCCTGGACGGCATCTTAAAACACTGAATGAAATAAGCTTATCATGTCTAAGGATTCAGAAAATGCATAGTACAAAGAATATATTTAGTTGAAAGTTAAAAGATTAGGACACTCTACTAGAATCATGAATTATGAAAGACACATCAAGGAAAGTATTAAGGATATGTAATATTCCTTGAGTTGAAAGAATTCACACTGGCTGGTCAATTTTTCTCTGATTCAAATCTCTGTGTGGAGCCAAGTACAACTTTGGGGCTTTCCATCTGCCTACTTGTATATTGATATATTTCACCTGGGATCAACAGCATGCCCAAAATATGTACATTCATCAGACTTCTACACTTAGATTATTAATGGCTTTATGCTACTTGGCCCTTGTGTCTGAAAATCCATGGTTTATAACTAGTTTACATACCTCTATTTTCTACTGAACAATTTAAAATTTAGAAGAAATATCTGCTGGGCTTGAGGATATATCTCATGTCTGTAAATATCTTTCTTTGTTTTAGGACCCGATTTAATCTCATTATTCTTGTCAAAAAGGGGTGTAGCATTTTCTCCATATAAGGGCAGCTTTAGGGAGGAAGACATATGGAGATCTAAAGTGGATTCTGAATAAAGTAAAAAAAGAAGTGATCTCATTGGAGGATATTTACTGAAGACTGACTACTGATCAGCAAATGCATTTGCAAATATACCTGTACACCTACATATCTACGCACTCATATACACATAAAGTGGGAGGAGAAATAAATCCTTATAATGTTAATGTTATCTATCCATTTGTTGTGTAGACCCAGCCTGGAGCTGTAGAAAATTTTCCTCCTCACTGGTCAGGACTGAGAGAACTTCAGTCGTCTGATGAAGACACTCACCTTTTTGTTATGTATAACCTCTGCCGTTGCCTGAAAAAGGACACACAAAAGGTTGAAAGTTACCTCAAGGTCCTGAAGGCCCGAGTCATCTTTAAGGAGAACTATTAATCAGAGAAACTTCCTCCTGCACCAGATGAGAAAAAAAAATTCCAAAGTTCCACAGCCATATATTATGCAGAGACTGGGAGTCCTTGGAGAACTCAGCCCTAAATGCGATGTTTCTATCAAATCCCTCTCCTCGAGTTCAGGGAATCCTGCATTAGAAGAGGCAAAAGAGTGCGAGAACCACAGGGGATGGAGAACCCTAAGAAAACTAGGCTCTCTGCGTCAATAGGAGAAAAGCTCACCTGAACTCAGAGACTGAGGCAGCATGCACAGGGCTTATACGTCTGCACCAGATCCTCTGCATTTACATTGCAGTTTCCATTGTATTGTTCTTCTGGGGCTCCTGCGTGTGGGAATGAGTGGGTCTCTGATCCTTTTGCCCTCTCTTGGGTCCTTTTCTTTTCATTGGTCTGCATTTTATTTTGTTACATTAAAAAACCTAAATGAATAAATAAATGAAACCCTGTCACCACAATAAAGACTATTAACTGAACTATCACTTATACCTTTGGGGAGAGGGAAATCAGTTTTCTCCAATGGAGTGACGCGGAATATATTGACCACTTTAGAGCAGGTCTTCATTCAGGAGTAGTTGAATAATAGAATAATATATAATTAACTCTAAAGTTTTTTTTTTCAAGACAGGGTTTCTCTGTAGCTTTGGGGCTTGTCCTGTTACTAGCTTTTGTTAACCAGGCTGGCCTCAAACTCACAGAAATCCTCCTGCCTATGCCTCCCAAGTTGCTGATTAAAGGCATGTGCCACCACCGCCCAGCTCAAAGTTTTGTTTTCTTTTTTATATGTGCACTTTTATTTAGTTACCTTTTGGTGGGTTTTTCCCCCTTAGGGTTGATTTATTTTTGTTTCTTGGCTTGAGAGGGCTTTGTTGTTGTATATGGTTTTTGTCTGTGTTTTGAGAAATCAATTAAAGTTGAGTAGCTAAGGAGAAGAAGAGGATCTGGAAGGACTTGTAGCAAGGGAAATGTGATTGAAATATATTCAAATTTAAAAATTTCTCTAATTTATATTAAGTAATAAAACAATATGATAAAAATGGAGGGAAAGCATAACTGTTAAGTGCACTCACATCCCTGCACCATGCTGCTGAGACTGACTAGGTGAACCAGACCTTCAGTTTCTTCCAAACTTTTAATGTTTGAATGCATCCATTGTTACAATGTATTGCTTCTCAAAAAATATTTTTTTTAGAAATACCCAATTCAAAGTGAAAATTGGTCAGTTTCTTGTGTTTATTTACTGTACAATCAATCCTTTGTTTTGTGATGGTCTTGAAAAAAATTTTACAAATACACTGTTTTAAGAGAAAATAAGACAACTAACATATAATCAGAGTAAATAAAGAAGACCAAATTAATTTAAACTGAAGCAATCCATTGTTATTGCTAAGTAAATCTTTTGGATGGACATCTGTGATAATTTATAAAGACAAGCCATTCAGTGAACAAATTTTCATGGTAATAAGACTGTACAAGTTGTATGTTATTGCACTTTCCTGAAGTACCACCATTTTTATATGTTCCAAGATGTATTAGGAGAGAAGAGGGAGTGGCTTTATATTTCTCCAGCTCCTATCTCAAATCACGATCCTTCTTAGGGCCAATGTAGGAGGATTCCACGCATTTGGATTACTGTGATTCTGACATTTCCTCTCACAGGCAGGATATTTAACAACCTCTAGTCATCATCCAGTTATTAAGTACAAACTTCTTCAGCTACTTTGAAAATCAATATTGCAATTTCTTAGAAAAATGGAAATCAATCTACCTCAAGAACCAGCAATACTACTCCTGGGAATGTACCCAAAGGATGCTCAATCATACTACAAGAACACTTGCTCAACTATATTCATAGCAGCTTTATTTGTAATAGCCAGAAGCTAGAAGCAACTTATTTGTCACTCAGCCAAATAATGGATAAAGAAAATGTGGTACATTAACAAAATGGAGTATTATGTAGTTGTCAAAAATAAAGACATCATGAAATTTGGAAGCAAAAGGATAAAACTAGAAAAAGAAAACATCATGACTGAGGTAACCCAGACCCAGAAAAACAAATATAGTATGTACTCACTCATAATTAAATATTAACTGTGAAGTAAGGACAATCACACTGCAAACCACAGACTCTGGGGCAGTGGAATAAATGGATCTGTCTTGGAATGGAAAATAGATGACTAAATGACAGGGAATAATCAAACTTAGGGTTGGAATCAATAAAATTGAAACAAGAAAACAATGCAAAGAATCAATGGAAGAAGGAGTTGGATCTTTGAAAAAATCAACAAGATAGACAAACCCTTATCAAAAGTAACTGAAAGGAAGAAAGAGACTATCCAAATAGATAAAATCAGAAACTAAAAGGGGATATAGCAACAGACTCTGAGGAAATACATAGAATCACTAGGTCATACTTTAAAAACTTTTACTCCACAAATTGGAAAAATCTAAAGAAATGAATAATTTTCTTGATAGGTACTAAATACCAAAATATAATCAAGACCAGATAAACAATTTAAGTAAAACTATATCCCATAAGAAAACAAAAAGCAGTCATTAAACATTTCCCAACTAAAAAAAAAATAATAGCCAGATGGTTTCAATGTAGAATTCTTTCAGAACTTCAAAGAAGAGCTAATACCAATATTCCTCAAATTATTTTGCATAATAGAAACAGAAGGAATATTGACAGACTCTTTTTTATAAGGCCACAATTACATGGATACTCCAACCAAAGGTGCAACAAGGAAAGAGAATTACATACCATTCCCCCTCATGAACACTGATGCAAAAATGCTCAATAAAATACTGACAAACTGAATCCAAGAACACATAAAAAAAATCATCCACCATGACTAAGTAGGCTTTATCCCAGAGGTGCAGGGATGATTCAATATAGAAAATTCTGTCAATAAAATCCACCAAATAAACAAAATGAAAGAAAAAACACATGATCATGAGATGCTGAAAAACCTTTGACAGATTCGAGATATTGGAGATTTCAGGGATACAAGGAACATGCATAAACATAATAAAGGCAATACACAGAAAGTTGACCATCAACATCAAGCTAAACAGAAAGAAACTCAATGTGAATCCACTAAAATCAGAGATAAAAGAAGATTGTGTACTCTCTTCATATCTATTCAATATAGTACTCAAGGTTCTAGCTAGAGCAATATGGCAAGAAAGTAGATTAAGGGGATACAAATTGGAAACGAAGAAGTCAAACTTTTGCTATTTGTAGATGATATGATAATATACATAAGGGACCCAAAAATTTCTACAAAGAGCTGCTACAGCTAACAAACAGCTTCAGTAATATGGCTGGTTGTAAGAGTAACTAAAAAAAATCAGTATCCTTCCTATATACAAATTATAAATGGGCTGAGAAAGAAATCATAGAAATAATACCCTATACAATATGCACAAATAATATAAACTATCCTGGGGTAACTCTTTAACCAACAAGTGAAATAATTTTATGACAAGAATTTTAAGACTTTGAAAAAAGATACTGGGGAAGATATCAGAAAATGGAAAGATCCCTCATGCTCATGGATTGGTAAAACGAGCAAATTAAAAATGCCAATCTTACCAAAAACAATCTATAGAGCTTGAAGTCAAGGATGGTGGTATTTCTAGAACTTCCCTTATTGTACAGGATTGTTTAACTATTCTCGACATTATTGTTTTTCCATATGAGGTTAAGTATTGTTCTTCTTAGGCATTCCAGTATAAGGAATAAGTTCCAAAGAGACAGTTCATAATGCTTTATGCCAATACTAAACTATTGTTATTACTATGGTTCAATAAAAGATCTTGAACTCAAGGATGGTGATAGCTCCAGAAGCTCATTTATTGTACAGAATTGTTTTAGCTTTCCTAAAACTTTTTGTTTTTTTCCATATGAAGTTGAATATTGTTTGTATTTAGGTATGTGAAGAATTGTGTTGAAATTTTTTATTTGAGTGCATCAAGTATTATACTGATCTTAGTATAACAGTTGTTTATTCATATAACCATAATTTCAGAAAAAAACTTTAAAAAGCAAATTCCTTTTTTCTCAGGCTGTACCTCTAGGGTTCATCATGTGATTTATTAATTTATGAGATCAATATTATTCAACTATTTCTTTCTGCTTTAATCTGATATCTGCTATTCTTCTTGTGCTAGGATAATTTGTTTGTTTGTTTGTTTGTTTGTTTGTTTTTTGATTTTTTGAGACAAGGTTTCTCCATAGCTTTTTGGTTCCTGTCCTGGAACTAGCTCTTGTAGACCAGGCTGGTCTCGAACTCACAGAGATCCGTCTCCCTCTGCCTCCCGAATGCTGGGATTAAAGGCGTGCACCACCACCACCTGGCTCAGATAATTTGTTTATATGCAATTTATAAGTAGAATACCCTAGAAGCAGTCCAATGCAGAGCCACTCTGCTGTCAAAGTGAGTAACTGCTAATTCTTCTCAAATATCTATTCTGCTTTTTCTTTGCTGACCTTGTATATCACTTATACTTCCTCTTAATTTTGTCTGAAACCTTGAGACTTCAATTAGAATGTCACTACTGAGAGACGTGCTGCCATGTCCACTGGTCTGCTGCACTGTGTCTACATAAGTGGGAAACATTTCTTTGTTTTATATTTCTACCTTTAAAGTATGAGAATTGTCTTAGATCCTGAGCTACAGAAGAGGAAAATTCTGATTCTTTCCTAAGGTGGTCCAAAGGATGATCAAGGGGCAGGAAGGCACTAGAGAAATATAGATCTGTTTCATACTTCTGTCCTATTACATTTTTGAACATTTGAATTCGTAGTACTTATGGGTAGTCCAACATTATTGAACCTGTATTGCTTGTTATTGGACTAAAAATTTGCTCACAGAATAGTTTTCTTTTATAAATGACCTCAGATATCTATTCCTTTGATATATAGGATCATATGAGTAGCAACAATCTCTTGCTTTGATTTTACATAAATGATCTCTCTTCATTCACTAAAAACTTAAGCAAGTTTTATGCTGTCTTACATGCTTGTCAAACTTCATATTTTTATATGTACATCACAAAAACATGGAGCTATATTATATTAGATGGAAATAGGAGACTTTCTTAAAATATCACACTGAATATTTTGTTTAAAATATAATTATATTTTATTTTATAAGAAGAAATCCACTGTAGTCACTCATGAACTGAGAAGAAAAAAGAATTAAAATTCTCGTTCAACAAAGACTCTGTCAGCAGGACATTGCAGGGATGTGCATTTAGCACTTGTTTTTAAAACAAACATTCACTATTAAAAACAACTCGGCACCTCAAGACCTTGAGAAAAGTGTCTATCTTATGAGTATCCCTTTTTAGGCAGCGGACCAGGCTATAAAAGGCAAAAAGTTGAGTGTCTTCATCAGCTGATTTTAATTCTGACAGTCCAGACCAGACAGGGGAGTCAGTCT